GGCTCCCTGCAGCGACCTCAGGCCTCTCAGGCAGTGAACTCTTGCCCTAACACCTCCTGGCTTCTCACCTGGGGATTTACCTCCCCACGTGGCTTCTCCTCACCCCTCATCCCAACCTCTGGCCCCATTTCTTTGGCTTTGACCTTTTTCTTCTTCCCCAGCACTCAGCCTCTCCCCTGCCGGCATTGGCCTCCGCGACCCTGCCACTCCCATTCCCATGTTCCAGCGTGCTGTCCCATGGGCACCCCTGAAACCCGCCCCTGGGCACGAGGGCAGTGTGTGCCCCCTCCTCGGATGTCTATGGTTTGTTCCATGGCTGTTCTTCCCAGCCTGTCCGTGAACGTGCCTCCCTCCTGCCCCGGCTCACAAACACATTCCCTGCTCAGGACAAAGATGAGGCCTGTGGAGATGCGTCTGCTCTCAGGGCCCAGGGCGCACTGCCTGGCACGGGCTCAGCCAATGCCCATGGCCCAGCTGAAGGGTCTGTCTGTAGGAGAAACCGTTGTCCGAGGGCCTGGCTGCAGTTCGGCGTGTTGCAGCCGATGTGGCCCTCCTGCTTCCTGGGCCAGCCCTCCGCATGCCTGAGAGGTGTCAAGCCCCTGAAGAAACAAACAGAACGTGTGGTTTCCTTTAGTCCAGCTCTTCACCGAAGCAGGATCCCAGCCACGGGCACTGCGCCCTCCGTGCCAAAGACGGCTTGGACCCGCCGTGGAGGGGCTCCTGCGGCCACCAGCTCCTCTGTAAACGTCTGAGACTCCCCCACCCCATTTTGTCCACCTTTCCCCGGGGCTGTACTTGAATTGTTGGTGCTCTGACATCGTGGATGCCCCAGTGGTACAGTGAGTCCATTCTAGTCTCCTTGACCTTGGAGTCCAGCCCTTGCCTGTCTGAGCCCAGCCTGCCTTCCCAGGGTCTCTCTCACCACCCTCCTGAGCGCACAGTAGGCTCCAGCCCCTCCTTGGGGCATTCTGCCCCTTGACCAAGGGCACAGCCCCGTGTCCTGGCGCTTGTCATGGTCTTTTAGGCCCCTCTTCAGCCACCTTTCTTTGGACACCTGTACATTTGGACACCTGTCCATCAAATCTCTGTTACTGTGGCCAAGGCCAGATGTCACGTCACAAAGACCACACCCCCATTCTTGGTCTCAGCTGATGGCCAGCTGTTGACTCCAGGCCTGTTACTGGATCATTAGCCCACGAGGGTGTATAAGGTGCACCTCTTCCCACCCATTTATTCACCCCACCCTCTCCCCAGGCGTTGAATTCAAGAGGAGAGTCTTAAAGTTGAAGGAACCTTCTAATATCAAAAAGCAAGAGACCTTGGGCGAGAGTTTGTTGACTAAAGAGGGACCTGAAAGAATAAAGCTACAATGACTCGCTGATGCTGGATCCTTTGAGGGCAGGAGGCCCTGATGCCCCTCCCGTCTTACGTAACAACAGCCTCTTTCTGGTTGGAGGGAAGGACCAATGAGGCACATGGCCCAAAGCAGGAGTTTCGGGTTCTAGAAGAGCAGGTGTGTGTGTGTGTGTGTGTGTGTGTGTGTGGACAGTGCGTGGTGTCTGTGTGCACAGCATCCAGGGTTACCCCAGGCTGGGAGACTCAGACAGAATAGGGTCTGCCCCACTGTTCCGGACGCTCCTGCTCACCAGCCCCCCCGCCCCAGGCTCTTGGATTTGTGCCTCCTCCTGCCCCCTCCATCAACCCCTGACTCCTCTCCACCTCCCATGGCTCCGTTCTCCCTTTTCTGAAAGATGCACAAGTGTGCACTTTGGTTTTATCATTGCTGCTGGTGCTTCCTCAGATCGGCCCATTATCTTCACTTATGCTGAGAAAAGAGCCTGAATAGATGATTACTAGGCCTTTTATTTCTCCTTGGGCTTCCGGGGGGCGGCTTTCTCGCCTGGGATCCGCTGTGTTGCTGGGAGCGGCAGGGAACGGAGGTGCTGACAGCTCATGTTGGGTGTTTACTACGCTGTGAGTTTATGACAGCCTTGTTTCCATACTGACAGCGAACGCCATATGGAGAGGAAAAAATGCTGTCAGATGAACCCTTAAGCAATCACAACACGTACATGAAGTCTCATAATTGCTTTTGGAAAAGCGGGGAGTTGCTTAAATCGCATCAGCGTGTGGCGCTCTGTGCCCTGATTGAATAAAACGGGAGCTTGGCATCAGGTGATTTACGCTCCTGTGTTTGGGAAGCTCAGCTGATGGGGAAGGGCTGGGGCGTTTGTTTTCCTCACCTCTGGGCACGGGTGCAGGGCACCGTGCTAACAGGTGCAGCCGCAGACCTGTCGCCCTCTGGGCCTCCTTCCAGACTCCCCACTGTGGCTGAAGATGACACTCATCTAACTTGACATTTTATTACTGTCACTTGGGATCTTGTCAGCTCACCCCCTCCCTGCCCCGACAAGATCCCTGAGGGCTGGGCCCACATCCCAGCTCTGCCCTCACCGGTCCTGGCCCGCAGGGCTGTGGGTTAAGTGTTCATGAACCGTCTGTGTGCATGGAAAGGTGGACTGGATTAAGGTGATAGTTCAAGGCTAGTTTCAGCCCCCAAACCACTCGAGGAGGATGCCCCATTGATCAAAGTACCCACTTGTGAGAATGAGAAATGTTGGAGTGCCTTCCTGCCCACAGAATACCTAGAGCTGGTGAATGTCTACAGAACAGCCCCTGCCCTCAGGCAGTTCCCCGTGTGATATGTGGGCTGTGAGACTCTCCAGCCTGTTGTTGCTCCTTCAGTTGCAAGAGACAAAAACCAACGCCAGCTGGCCTCAGCGCAGACTCTGTGGGTGAGGACCTTGCAGGCGCCGCTGGCCTGGCAGGCTGGCCTCGGGCCCCTGTGCTCTTCGGGCACCAGGTTTCTCACTTCACTCGGCTCTCTCCCCTGTGCTGGCTTCGCTCTCCGTGGGCTCACTGCCTGTGGGAGGGACAGTTGTGGCAGCTCTGGGGCGACCAGTCCCTTAGCCTTGTCACCCGGAGAGGAGCAAGTATCTAGCAAAGTTCTAGCAAAAACCCTGGAAGGACTCCAAGGCCCACTCAGGCCAGGGAACCTATCGTGTGGCAATAGGGAAGGGGGCTCTGATTGGTTAGGGCTGGCTGGGTTCTTACAGACCAGTTCCCTAGAGCAGCGGTCAGCAAACTCATTAGTCAACAGAGCCAAATATCAACAGTACAACGATTGAAATCTTTTGAGAGCCAAATTTTTTAAACTTAAACTATATAGGTAGGTACATTGTTATTAACTTCATTAGGGTGCTCCTAAGGCTGAGGAAGAGCCACACTCAAGGGGCCAGGAGCCGCACGTGGCTCAAGAGCCGCAGTTTGCCGACTACTGCCCTAGAGATAAGGAGATGGTGCAGACCGGAAAGCCACATCCATGATGACAGCAGGTGGTTTATTAAGCATTTGCTATGTGCCAGGCTCTGGTCTGAGTCCTTTCTCCACGTTGTCTTATTCAGTCCTCGTGATGGTCGCAGGAGCTGGGTACCATTGCTGTTTCCAGTTTACGGATAAGGAAACCGAGGGATAAATGTGCCCAGTGAGTTGTCCCAGGTCACACAGGCAGGAAGTGGTGAGGCTGAGATTTGAACCCAGGCAGTTTAGCTCCGTAACCCATGCTCACAGCCCCCTGCCTCCCGACCTGCCCATGGCTAAGCTCTTTGTGCATGGAAATGATGGCCATATTCCTTTCTCCCGTTGTAGTCCCCATCTCCAGAGAAACACCACGTCCTGGCTCCTCCTCTGTGGTTGGCAAGGACAGTCATTCCTCCTGTCCAGGTAGCTCCTAACCCAGGTCTAACTCAGCCCGCTTCCTGGTTCCCTGTGAAATCTCCTGACTGTTTCTGCACAGCTGCAGGGTCGAAGGCAAATTCACAGTGCTTGCTCGAGAAGGCTCATGGCTGGGGCCTCAGCCCTTGGGGAAGCCTCTGGTAGTCATTACAGGAAGAGCCGAGAAGGGACTCCCCACCCCCTCCCCAACCTCCATCTCACGTCCCACATGGGCCTTCATTTTTCAGAGGAAGACTGAGGCCCAGAAAGGACAAGTGAGCTTCCTGAAGTCACACGGCAAGTCATTGGCGAGGCCTCGCGTGGCGACGGCGTGGCTGAGGGCCGGCCACTTTCTGTCTCTGTGCCGCTAGCGCCTCTGCTGGAAAAAGCAGGCTTTTCATAATTCGAAACATCCCAAGACTGGCTTTGCTCCAATTGGACAAAAATAAAAGTTTTTTTGCTGTATTCATTAGGATGCTTTGAATTACAAGTAATTACCTTTTTTTTTTTTTCCCAAGCAAGGCTCTTTAGTAAGTGCTTCAGATATGGTTGGGCTGCAGGCACGGTTTGATCCAGAGCCTCATGGCACCACCAGGCCCCAAGTCTACTTGTAATTGTCCCAGTTCTGGCCTCCTCTGTGAGTCGGCCTGGTCCCGCAGTCACTTCCTTCCCAGCGTCAAGAACTCCCGCAGCAGGCTCTGGCCTTGCCCCTCGCACCCCATCCACAGGCAGAGAAAGCACCTCTGCTCAACGTGCCAGGCAGTCTGTGGTCCACTCTGGTTTACTGGCATGGGTGCCATGCCTGCCACCTATATCCAGTCACTTTCACCAGCGGATGTGACATGCCGGGAGCCAGTTCACAGGTCCCCATGTGAGCATGGGTTACGGAGCTAAACAGCAAGGATGGACTGGCTCTTGGCAGTGACATGCTGATGGCCAGCCAGGGCAGTCATAGTCCCCAGAACTGCTGGCATCTCCATACAGAAACCAGGGCATCGGCAAGGGGAGTGGGCCGGGAGTGGAGGCTGGGCCATCACTGGCAGCTTCCTCGGCACTGACCTCGTCCTCTCTGCATCTGCGGGGCCTGGGGACACATAAGGGCTCCTGAGAGTTTGCCAGGCACCTGGCTGCACCCACCTGGGGCATTACCTCCAGGTGGGGTGGGTGGCCCGGCCCGGCCCGGCCCTCTCCTGGGTCTCACCGTGTTCCTCTTTTCTTGTCTCCAGACAGAGACTACTGCAGCTTATGTGACAAGCAGCCGATCGGGAGGCTGCTTTTCCGGCAGTTCTGTGAAGCGAGGCCTGGGCTGGAGTGTTACATTCAGTTTCTGGACTCAGTGGTAAGTCCCTGGTCCTGGGGGGAGGAGGGTCCTGGGTCCTCGGTGATCAGCGATCGTGTTCGTCCAAAGGAAACACTAGGCCACATGGTTTAGAAGGCTGCGGCGAATAAAATGGCTGCTCCAGAAAGTTCCGCGCAGATGGCTGTGTCATCTCCAGGTCTGCACCCCTGGTGGCCGTGGGTGGCCACCTCCCCGCTGGGCCTCCGTTCCTGCTGCTTTAACGTGAGGCCCTGTCAGCTCCCTGATTCTGGGAGCCCGGGAATGCACGGCTGTACATGGGGAAGTTGTGTGGTAATTCCAAAGCTCGTGTGCGGGGACTTGTTTCCGCTGACTGCCCACTAGAAAGCAAGCTCCCTGAGGCCAGGACCCTGGCTCCGGGTCACCCCTGCCTCGCACAGAGCCCGCCCACGCAGGCATCCACACGTGTTTGGGCATTGAATGCGTGTTGGCAGTTTCAAGCTGATCTGACTGCTGCTGGCACACTTGGCTGTGATTCACACCACAGGGGCCTCCTGCACCTGTTCTGGTCGCTCACCTGTGTAACAGATGCGCCTGGAGACCTGGAGGCCTGGAGGAGGGGATGTGCAGGGGCTCCTCAGTCCTGCTCAGGGAGGCGGGCACCTCTGCCTGGCCTCTGCCCCTAGGTTTTTTCTACTGGCTGCAGCCATCCAACCTCTGTCTTGGTTTAGGGGGCCTGGGTTTCTGTGTCTTCTTCCGGGTCTTGCTTGGCTCTCTGGACCCACAAACCAAACTGCCCATTGACTGTCTCCACTGGAAGTTACATGGGCCCCTCAATGTCAGCGTGTCCCAAACACCCAGAACTTCTCCCCGGGCCCCCCAAACTACCAGCCCTGACTTGTTCCCTGGGCCAGTGACCAGCACCCCAGTCACCCAAGCCTGAATCCTTTGCATTGTCCTTGACCTCTCCTTCTTCCTCATCCCTTCCCGACCCAATCAAGGACCCTGTGCTGGGCTCCTTAACCCTCCCAGACCAGTCCCCTCCCCTCCATGGCCTCCGCCTTGGTCTTAGTGCAGGTTCTCTGCGTGTTTCCTGTAAGCGATTGCAGCACTCTCAACCTTGGCTGAGCAGCAGAAACACGCGGGAGCCTTAAAAAAATACCAGCGCTCACACTGAAGCCCAGACTCATTAATGTGTTTCTCTGGGGGGTGGGGCCCAGTATTTTCATAGCTTTTTATTATGGAAAATTTCAAGCTATAAAGGTAAAAGTCTATGGAATGGTGTAATGAGCCCCCACGCATCCTTCACCCCACTTCAACAATGATGAGCTCAAGGCCAATCTTTTTTCACCCACCTCCACTCCTCTGTAGCGTTTTGTAGCAGATCTCACATTTATTATTTTATCTGTGAACATTTCAGATGTGTCTCTGGACAATAAGGGCTCCTTAACAAAAATATAACCACAATACCATTACCATAACTCAAATATTATTTTTCCCTATTATCTACTATTAGTCAGTATTCCCATGTCTGGCTTTCTCCCATTTTATAAATGCATGTTTTAGCAGTTTATAGCCATCTCCCTCGTCCATCCAGAAGAGTGTTTTGTGGTCGGAATTCTGCGTACTCGTCCCCATGTGTCATTTAATAAGTTCCTCTGTATTTCTTGTAAATTGATCATTAATCAGGCCCATTCCAACTGGAGGGTGGGGGGACTGACTTCATAAGTGGCTTCGCGTTGCTCTGTCAGGGGACATACACTCTCTGGTTGTCTTTCTTTCTGAGAAGGCAGCAGCCATTGATAATCAACACCCAGCCCTAGCCGGTTTGGCTCAGTGGATAGAGCGTCAGCCTGTGGACCGAAGGATCACAGGTTCGATCTCAGTCAAGGGCACCTACCTTGGTTGCAGACTCCATCTCTGGCCCTGGTCGGGGCACGTGCATCAATGTGTCTCTCTTACATCGATGTTTCTCTCTGTCTTTCCCTCTCTCTTCCACTCTCTCTAAAAATCAATGGAAAGTACCCTCTGGTGAGGATTAACAACAAAAAGATAAAGTGGTGATATTCAGCACCCACATCTGTTGATGAATGAGGGGTGACACCGTGGCGATGTTCTGAGTCTGTCGTCCCTTCGTTTGCTAACTAGGAAACACATTCGATGACTCCCTGCTTACCCAGTGGTAAAGCTCATACAGGAAGTGCGTTACTCCTTTCCTGTTTTTGTGTTTTCAAAGTACCCATCGGTTCACTGGCAGTAACCAGCCCGAGTGTGACATGTGTGGCCTTGCACGTGGTGCGTTCTGATGCACAGCAGTCACAGTTTTTATTGGGGTGGCATGGTCTCCTCGTTGGGCAGTGGGAGCCCCTCAGATTGGCTTCTGAGCCCTTGGAGGACACGGTGATCGCGGGTGGCCTCCTGGCCGTCAGCTGCCATGTGGTGTCGCAGTTCGTCTGATGTGCTTCCTGCCTTTCACCTAGTGCTCATTGTTTCTCCCAGGAGCCCTGGCTCCTCTTACTGGGGAATGGTACTGGGGCCGCTGGGGCGTTTTTAACATTCCCTGACTGCACTGTGTGTCCGGGGTTGGGAAGCATTGACACCCAGGATACAGTCCGAGTTCTGAAACTGACGTACCAGACCTTCTACCAACAGGCCCTGCCTGCCCCTTCGTCCTCGACCTCCCCCAGTCTTTTTGGGCCCTGAATTCTGGCACTGCCCCCTGTTGGCGGTGGCTCCTTCTTGCCAGGATGGTCAAGTCTCTCGGTCTGGGCTGGAGTGGAGGGGGCAGGGCCGAGGGATCCAGGAGAGGTGTCAGTCATGCTTTCCTGTGCCACTAAAGAACTTTGAGTGACATAAGGGCCACTGGAGGGTTCTGAGCAGAGCAGTGGCGTGGTCTGATGTAGATTTTTAAAGTACTCTCTGACTCGGTGTTGGGAACAGGCTCTGAGGGGCCGGGGCGGGAGCTGGGAGCTCTGGTTGGAGGCGGCTGCAGTCCAGGTGAGAGCTGATGGTGGCACAGGCACATGGCAGCATCCCACAGTGGTGAGAGCGGTTGGATTTGGGGCATGTTTTAAAAGCAGAGTTAACAGTATTTCTTTTGTTTTTAATCCTCACCCAAGGATATGTTTTAACTAATTTTTAGAGAGGCGAAGAGAGAGAGAGAGAGAGAGAGAGAGACACCGACCAGCCACCTCCTGTATGCACCCTGACCAAGGATCGAACCCACAACCTTTTGATGTACAAGATGGCCCTCCAACCAACTGAGCCACCTGGCCAGGGCAAGAGTTCACAGTATTTCTGATATATTTGGGGGAGGAGGAGGGAGAGAGAAGATGTGCAGATGACTTAAAGGTGTTGACCAGAGCCACTGGGAGGATGGAGTCAGAGGGCAGCTGAGGGAGGCTCGCTTGGGGGGTACACTCAGCTAGAGACGCCCATCAGACATCCAAGCAGAGATGCGTGAGGAGAGGAGGGTGTTCGAGGCTGAACTTTGTGAGAAGGGTCTGGGCTGGAAGCAAAAACTGGGGAGTTGTCCACATGCAGCTGGTACTTGGAGCCGTGGGCCGGGTGAGCTCACCAAGGAGAGGCATGTGGATGGAGAGGGCACGAAACCCAGGGCGAGCCCTGGACCAAGGCGCCCCTTTTGGAAAGACGGAGCGTCGGCAGCTGGGGGACCTGTCTGGGATTGATGAGGCGGAGCAGGCGAGGCTAACCCAGGAGCCAGTGGAATTTTCCAGCCGCGGGACTCGTTAGATGCTCAGTCAGTTTGAGGAGAAGAAAGCAGCCCGTGGATGCCCATGCTCATTCTCGTCATGCGGACGCTCCCTGTGGCTAGGCCGGCACTGGGGATTTTTCAGTTGGAAAGGAGATGTGAGCGTGGCTCCGGTGTCGACATGACAGATGCTCTTTACGCACTCCCCGACCAAGCTGCCACTCAGAGAGGCCGCCCCGAACCCCCGCGTCCTGTCTGCATCCCTGGGAATTAGCGAGGCCTTTTCATCGCCCATCTTGACGTCAAGTGGCCGGCCTTTGGAAACACCTTTTACGCACGAAGCCTTTATTGAGTTTTCCAGGGCTGGCATGATGCTCGTCTGAAATACGTTTTTCTTTTTCCTTCCATCCGGACGGGAACTCCGAGGAGGGAGAGGGTGGCCCTGTCCTGGGTGTCACATCCCGCCCAGTGCCCCCTGGCTCAGCCAGCGCTGTCCTCACTGTGCCCATCTCTTGCCTGAATTCCTGCCAAGTGGAGTTTATTAAAAATAACCCGTCCTGTCGGGCTCTGACCTCGCCCTCGGGAAAGGCCGGTGCTCGGCACAGTTCCGATGTCGGCGCGTCTTGAGTCCGCAGGAGACGGGCTGCTTTAGGGGGCCCCGGTGCGGGGGGCAGCAGACTGTCTGTGCACCTCCTCAGACCGCAGGGTAACTCAGCCTTCGCCGTGCTTGTCGAGGGGCTCCTGGGAACCTGAGACGGACTCCTCCTCCCCTTCCCACCGAGACATAGAGTCAGTGACCTAAATGGGGGCTATGGCTGGATTTGGCTCCTGGAGGGCAAAGAGGATTTGCCCAGCTGGTCTGGTCATGGGATCAGAAGGGGTTCTAGGTTAGTGTCAACCTGCACAGGCCCATAGGGTCTTGCCATGGAATTCTTAAAAATGGACATAGTTGCCCTAGCCCAGTGATGGTGAACCTATGACACGCGTGTCAGAGGTGACACGCGAACTCATTTTTTGGGTTGATTTTTCTTAGTTAAATGGCATTTAAATATATAAAATAAATAGCAAAAATATAAGTCTTTGTTTTACTATGGTTGCAAATATCAAAAAATTTCTATATGTAACACAGCACCAGTGGACGTACTTGCCCTGGTTGGTGTGGCTCTGTTGGACATCATCCCATGCACCGAGAAGTTGCCGGTTCAATTCCTGGTCAGGGCACATGCCAGGGTAGCTGGCTCAATTTCCAGTGGCAACTGATCAATGTTCTGCTCTCAGATTGGTGTTTCTCTCTCTCTCCCTTTCCCTTCCTCTCTCTCTAAAAATCAAT